TTAATTTAGCAGGATATCCATAATTTAGTTCTCACACTTTCCATATATACATAAAACATGCATATATAATAAAAATAATAAAGACAGATAATGTCATTATGCCTAATATTGTTATAATAACTTACAAGTCAATGACTCATCCATTCATATCTACTCTTCCTGGAAACACTATGTACGTTACAATACTAACTATAAAGAAATTCAAATGAAACGTTTTTTAAAACAAAAAATCAATCTAATAAAAAGGAGGAATTTAATTAGAATATCCAGACAAGTCCACGTCAGCCTCTAATCTGAAACGTTTGACCAAACAACTTACAGATAAAACTGATGATGTTACAACTTTGAGTGTGTGCATTGCATGTACGCAGCGACTCGACGCCTCCATATATCCAATCTATAAATACCAAACAGATCTTTAACTTTTAAGACACAAACTCAAAAGAAAATTTAACTTTAAGACAACAAAAGAAATGGTGGTCGCTGATGATCATAATCTCTCCTCCATGATTCTCCCTAGAGTTCTCATCGTGTCTCGTCGGACTCTCCGCAAGAACAAGTTCGTAGACTTCGTAGGAGAATACCATCTCGATCTCATCGTCTCCTATGGTGCAGTCCCTGTCATCGTGCCACGTGTCAACGGTGTTCATTCAATGCTCCAGAGCTTCGAACCCATCCATGGTGTCCTCCTCTGCGAAGGAGAAGACATCGACCCTTCTCTTTACGCAGCAGACTCCGACCTCTCGCCGGAGGAAATGGAAGAGATCAAGAGGTTGCACGAAGGAGATACGACCATAGATCGAGAGAAAGACAGCATCGAGATGACTCTAGCTCGACTCTGTCTCGAAAAAAACATTCCTTTCTTAGGAATTTGTCGTGGCTCCCAGATTCTCAACGTAGCCGCAGGAGGAACTCTGTACCAGGACATTGACATGGAACTCGGTGCTATTACGAAACATATAGATTATGACAATTACGATGAGCATAGGCACGAGGCTAGAGTCGTGGAGGAGACACCGTTGCACAAATGGTTCGAGGAGATGGATCAGATCATGGTGAATTCGTATCATCATCAAGGTGTGAAGAGATTGGCGAAGCGTTTTGTCCCGATGGCTTACGCTCTTGATGGTTTGATCGAAGGGTTTTATGATCCGAATCGATATGAACCAGAGCAAGGTGAGTTCTTGATGGGTCTTCAGTTTCATCCTGAAAGGATGAGGCTTTCGGGATCTGATGAGTTCGACTATCCGGGATGCGCTACTGCTTATCAGGAGTTTGTGAAAGCCGCGATCGCGTTTCAGAAGAAACAACTGAAGGGAACAAAGATGGAGATGATGAAGAAGACGCTAGTCAAAAGCTTCTCCGGAGCTGAGCTTCTAAACACGCAGGCGAACACGGTGCTAAGCAAGCAACAAGAGAATAGGCTGAAGCAGATGGGAGCGACGGTGAGGAACTCGTGTGTGTATATGAAAAGGATGAAGAGGAAAGAAGAGCAAGAGAGAGCAATGGACAAATTGTCCGGGGAACGTCTCTCTGATCTGCTTTCCTTCCACCGTATGATGGCTCGTCTCTGCTCTGATGCCATCGAGAGGAAGCTACTAGAATCCGCAGATAGTACCATCGAGTCCTCCTCTTTCCTCAACTATTAGCTTTTTATCGCCAAAAACATGTTATACAATAAAAATAGGGTTAGCTTTCTGTGTAACATCACCATTTTACAGAAGCTCCCAACTATATGTATGGTTTCTTCAGGACATTAATAATTAAGAGTTCCTTTTTGTAACTTTCTACATCTTTTTTTCTTCATCATAGTATATAATATGTGATCACTGACGGCAGAAGAAGATGAAGTCAGGATGGTTAACTTGATGCAACCTCAGCCAATTGTCGGCGGCTTGGAAGAGGGAGTTCACGAGCTGGTGTGCAGAGCCCTTGATGCTTGTCCATACAGAACCTCTCATCTTGTATGACGCGAGGCCAAAGACAGGCAGCGCCATTTTCTCAATGTTCTCCCTTGGCTGCACCGCATGCACAGACTCTGTTGTATCGCCTAGAGCTACAAGAGCCGAAGATAGAAAGTGAATGAAATTTTATTCAGATAACTAGTTTCTGGCTGATTTACCTAAGATTATTCGAAGTAGTGTTTCTTTGTATAAATAATGCCGAACACCAAACTTACCTTGAAAGGATGTGTGAAGGGAATGATACGTCAAGAAACAAGCATCCAGATCCTTGAGCGTCGATCCTGTGGGTATTCTGTAAACTGGGTACCTACAAAAGTATAGTAATGGACTCTAAGAGACATGAGGGGAACACTGTGGAAGAAAGTGTGTGTGCATGGTACAAAGAACAATACCATGCCACAGAAAACCAGCTTGAAGGTAGTAAATCACAGCTTCTCAGCGTCTTCAGCTCGGGAAATCTAGAGGCAAGGTCAGACATCTGCAATGGTTACAATCGAATAAGACAGCTATTGGGATTGCATTTTGTACATCATAAAGTGGTGTATTATTATTTTAGAATTGGACCAATCCCTAGACAGTATTTGAACTTTACACAGTCAGATGATAGTCCTAAAATGAATGCTTAGGAAGACCTACGAGTTGGAAGAGTTGTACTTCAACTGTTTGGATATGCATATGCCTTGATAACTTGATATTCAGAGTTAAAATAGACAAACCTTGTCGGCAAAGGGTTCGCGGATATAGGGAAGATCTCGTTCAAGAAACTCAAATACCAAACGACCTTGAGAGCTTAAAGCCTCGCCATCGTCACTAGACGAGTCTTCCTGTTCCTGATGCTCCTTTCTCAACGAGAGTTGGTCCATTCTAGCAGAGATCTTCTCTTTTGGATAACAGAGTCCTCTTTCTGATTCACTACTGCTTCCATCACTACTTGAATCCCGGAAATCGCTTTCGCTCTCTTCACCTGACCTCCTACACATTGATACATATAACATCCCAACATTCTTCTTATAAACAACCAAGATTCGAACTTTATAGATTGAATAGTCACAATTCCTAAAGCTTGAAACTTTATACAATACCAACAAATACAAGATGAAACTGAAAGGACTGTTTTTTTTTTTTTACCTAGCTTGAAGTGATGAGCTTAAGACATGAGAATCAGCATAGATTTGAATACCGGAGAGTGAAGGCACATAGTATTGAAAGACTTGATCT